GGAGGGATTCTCCCAGAAATTAGAGGCTCAAGCAAGTGGCTGTTAGAGTGACAGCTAAGCCTTTTGGAGCAAGTTCTTAGGTTTAAACACTTGCGTGGCTCCCCAAAGCAGAGAAAAGTGGGGATCCTCTAATTGACCTGGAGACAGAGTATTTCTCCCTCCGTCACACCCAGCCTGTAATGGAGCACCTCTGGTGGCCAGTGAACACAGTTTGAAAACCAATGGGTGAGTCCAACTCCAGGACTTTGTAGACAGCTGTTGTCCTGAGTGGGAAAATGATTTGTCCCAGGCCAACCAGCAGGAATGAGTTGTGAAAGGACTAGTACCTAAGATTCCTCACTCCTACATTTGTCCTTTACCGTGACACTTATTTGCCTCTCCCTTGGGAGTGTGGATGATAGGCCAGAGATATAATTCACTCTTGTGAAAAGGGCTAAGTTGAACTTTGATTTGCCTCAAGTTCTGGTTCTCTCCCTATTCTTCAGTATCTTGGTGACTGGCTCTTCATTCCTGGCCTGCAGGGAGGGATTGAAATAGGGACATTGGAATCAATTTAAAGTTGCAGAACAGTGATCCAGGCTACCGCTGGCTTGGTGGAAATCGACATCACCCTTGTTCACAAATACTTGGTGCTCCCTCTTATGTTGTTGTTGTTGTTGTGAAGTGCCATCGAGTCGATTCCAACCCACAGGGAGGGTTTCCAAGGAGCAGCTGGTGAGCTTGAACCACTGACCTTGCTGTTCAAATGACTTTGCATTCTGAGGCGTTAGATCACAGCGCCCAACCTGTTGAACTCCTAAGGCGTTGATTACAGAACTGACCAAGCCTGAAGATGGCAGGAGCCAGGCTGGCACTACAAGTGACTAGAGTTCCCTGGGACAGCACAAATGACTTTCACTTAACTGGTAGCCAAAAGGTCGGTGATTCAAACCCACCCAGCAGAAGAAAAGGCCTAGCGATTTGCTTCTCTAAAGATTACAGCCCGAGGAAGTCCCATGGAAGAGTTCTACTCGACTGCACAGGATGACAACAGGGGTGTGACCAGGGGGCAAAGGAAAGGACTCATCCACCCATTTTCCACAAGGAGAACCGTGAATCTCCTACTTACTACAGGGAAGTGTAGACCTGCACACTGGGCCAGAGTTCTTCATTTCTTAAGAATGCGTAGACATCTATGAGTTTAAATATGAAGTCACCCTTTCTTAAGTGTTAGCTTGAATTTTCTTTACGACACTGCCGGGCACTGAAGGGCATATTGGTCTTGCCACTAACTTGGTACTTGTCAATGTACAATCTAATTTGTTGGGAGTAACAACAACAATTATAGCTTGCATGTTCTGAGACTTACCAGGTTCCAGGCTCTGCAAGATGTTTCTTTTTTCAACATCTTGTGGAACTCTTACAACAACCCTACGAGGGAATGGAATTCTGACTCCCATTTTAAGATGAGAAGTTATTGGAGCATCTCTTTAATCCAGTTATAAGATCTGAGAGGAACTTGACCACTATTTCTTGTTCTATATACAGCAGACGTAGCATATTTATTTCAATGATATGTTCTTCATGAACCAACAGCTTCCTACTATGCTATCAATCCCTCCCATTTTAAGTTTTAGAAAACTGAGGTTCAAAAGGTGTGAAGTGATGTGTCCAAGGTCACATAGAAAGGCAGGTATATAAGCAAAAGTCAAACTCTGATGCCCAAGTTCTGGCTGGAGATTTGAAAAACAACAACAGCTTTCTCCTGTTCCTGTGGCTTAAAGGTAACTCAAATTTCTTAAGTTTCATCCTTCCTATACCTCTGCTTCCGTCCCTCATGTCCTCTCCACCACCGGGGTAGATGGTGGGGTCTGGGTCTTCACACTCTCAAGTGCTCATCTGCCTTCTGCCCTTTATGCTCTTGCCTTCCTCCCTCCTTACCAGTTTCTGCTGAGCCTGCAACTGGGAACAGTAGTAAACATTAAAAGTGGTCAAGAAAACAGAGCACAGAAGCACCTGAGAAAGTCTCAGGAACCCTATAAAAATGGTTTGGCAGCAGTATGTAGGACCTCCTCATCTAACTTCACCAGTAGGGAGGAGAATCACTGTCAGTACCCACAACCTAAGGCAGAGGTCAGACATATCACCTCTTTCCAACTTGTTCGCCCATTCTACCAACTGTCCCTCCCATGACACTCTCTGCTTCTCTTCTGGCCTCGATAATTCATTGCAATGACCACAGAGAACTCTCAGATTATACTAATAGTTATGGGGTTTATTAGGGAAGTGTTGTTGTTAGGCACCATCAATTCATAGTGGCCTTATGAACAACTGAACGAAACACTGCCTAGTCCCGTGCCACCCTCACAATCATTGCTAAGCTTGAACCCATTGCTGTTGTCACTTTACCTAACATGATGGCCTTCTCCTGATAACATTCCCGAAGAATGAGTCTCACCCTCCTGGCTTCTAAAGAGCATTCTGTCTGTACTTCTTCCAACAAAGATTTGTTTGTTCTTCTAGCAGTCCATGGTACTTTTAATATTCTTCTACAACACCATAATTTAACTGCATCAATTCTTCTGCAGTTTTCCTTATTCACAGTCCTACTATGGTACCATGGATTGGATCAGGCACACTTTAGTTCTCAAACTGACGTCTTTGCTCTTGAACACTTTAAGAAGGTCTTGTGTAGCAGATTTGTCTAATGCAATATGTTGTTTGATTTCTTGACTGCTGCTTCCATGAGTGTTGGTTGTGGATCCAAGCAAAATGAAATCTTTGACAACTTCAATCTTTTCTCCATTGATCATGATGTTATTTATTGCTCCAGTGGTGAGGATTTTTTGTTTTCTTTACATTGAGATATAACCCTTACTGAAGGCTGTGGTCTTTGATCTTCATAAGCAAATATTTTAAGACCCTCTTGCTTTCAGCAAGCAAGGTTGTATTATCTGCATATCACAGGTGGTTAATGGATCTTCCTCTAATTCTGATGCCTCCAATTTCTTCTTCATATAATCCAGTTTCTTGAATTATTTGCTAAGCATACAGATTAAATGTTATTGTTGTTGTTAAGTGCTGTCGAGTCAGTTTCATTGAATAGGTATGGTGAAAGTATACAACCCTGGTGTACACCTTTCCTGATTTTAGACCATTCAGTGTCCCCTTGTTCTGTTCTAATGACTGCCTCTTGGTCTGTGTACAGGTTCCTCATGAGCACAATTAAATGTTCCTAAATACTCAGTCTCTGCAATATTGTCCATAACTTGTCATGATTCACACAGTCAAAAGCCTTTGGATAGTCAATAAAGCAGAGGTAAACATCTTTCTGATATTCTCTGTTTTCAGTCAAGATTCTGTTACTTAGCGAAGTAACAAGTTACAATTCGGTATCAGAAATGACCCAGGATACAATTTTTCAATCAGGAATCTTTTCTGGCCTTTGGCCCCTTGGTCCCCAGGCCCTTCAACCCAGCCTTTGCCTTGCTCAGGCAAGTATTACAATACTTTTTCTCTCCACCAGTAAGTGCCTAGGGGTACCCTACTCTGCCAATAAGTGCCTAGGGGTACCCTACTCTGCCAGTAAGTCTCCTGCTTGAAGGTGCTCAGCTCTCAAGTTACGTGGGCCAGGAAGCTCATAACTCTGTCACCTGCTACCTTTTGGTTTTGTCGCCGTTTCTCTGCTGCTGCTTCTTGCAGTCTCGCACCTTCTTGGGTGCTTGTTACCTCACAGTCTGTGTCTCTCATCCTCTTCAGTGTTTGTTACCGCTCTTTCTCTCTCTTTCCATCTCTCCTGCTCTGCAGTATTTGATTCCACTCTCTCTTTCTTCCTCCTGGGTCTGGGAGGTTCTCAGTGCAGAGGTCCCATGCCCTAAGGATGCACTCGTCTCCTATCTTTTCTTAGTAGTAGTGAGGACCCTCCCTTTGGCCTCTGGGATGTGGTTGTTGTTAAGTGCCATCAAGTTGGTTCCGATTCCTAGCAACTCTGTATAGGGTTTCCAAGGAGTGACTGGTGAGTTTGAACCATGAACTTTGCAGTTCAGATGACCTTGCAGTCCATTGTGTATCCTATGGTGCTGCACCAAGCTTCTGCTATAGCTCATGTTAAGTCTAGTGAGTGAAAAAAGTGACCAATTCCCTTGTTAGGGTTCATAAACCTTATTTGCCTAGTCTCACCCCTACAAGGGAAACACAGTGGCTCCATATGATAAGTACTGGACTGTGAACCTCAAGGTCCACAGTTTGAACCCAGCAGTTGCTCTGCAAGAAGAGGCTTTCTACTCCTGCAAAGATTTAAAGCCTTGGAAACTCTGACAGGGTCGCTATCAGTTGCAACCCACTAGACAACACTTAACAACATCTTATTTGCATCATTTAGCATGCTGTCCATTCCTTTGGTGGGTCGCATGCTCCTTATTTGCATAGCCCCACCCAGTCATTTAGTGGTAATTACAGGACCATGGTTAGAAAGGCCACATAAAATCCATCCATTGCCGTACAACCCCAGCAGAGGAAACCAGGAAGGAAGTGGGCACTAGGCAGAGGCTCAGAGCTGGTCCCCACCAGCCCTAGGTAAGAGCTGCCTTAGGGCCTCAGGAAACAGAGGTGAGAGCCCATCAGAGATTGTGCCCTGGTGGCTGCAGACCTAGTTTTTCTTTTTTAAAATGTGACTGCCTTTAAACAGGACAAAGACATTCTGGTGCTATAAACAGTTAAGCACTTGGTACTAACCAGAAGGTTGATGGTTCAAACCCATTCAACGGCTCATCTATTTCTGTAAAGAATACAGCCAAAAGACCTGGGGACTCTTGGGCCCAGAGTCAGTGACATAGCCACAGAGGACTAGAGTGGAGAGTGAAGC